AACACAATTACTATTCCTGCTAAACTTGGTTCAGCTGGGGAATGAGTAGCATCTTCGGAGTTTAGGCCCTTCACTCGTTCCTGCTGGCATGAACATCCCTTCAGGAGGCCTGTAACTCCCAAGGGGACTGTCCTACACTGCCCGTGGTTCAGAGCTGCCCAGCAGTGGGACACAAGCTGCAGCCCTGTCCTGCAGAACTCCGACACACCACTCTGGGTGCACCCAGTTGTATCCGCTTCTCCAAATCGCTGTTATCCTCACCAACTGTTTTCTGCCTCAAAGGAACACATCTATGGCACAGTTTTGAAAACCTTAATTGGCTAGCCACTTTTTTCTTAAAGTAACTCGAAAAGGAAGGAGCACATCAGACTAGAAGAAAACCAGAAATATCAAACTGAATTAAAGATTTCAAAGAGGGGGGGAAATGCAGATTAAGCCTGCAGATTTTCAGCCCATCGAACAATAATATAGCATTTTTTTCTATCTTCAGGTCAAATGACAGTGAGGAAATATTACTATCCTGCCCCATGCTCCAGTAGGGATTGAATGAAGGGGATCAGAGAAGCTCCAGAATTAAAACTCTTCTTGGAGGAATTTGTCATCAGGGTAGGAGTTCAAATCTGTAAAAAGCAATAGCTGGTCTAAATAAACCACTAAACAAAGATTTTTAAGAGTGACTCTGGAAAATGAGTAAGTAAAACCAGCATCAGCCACCTCACGACAGAATGGATAAAATCACTACTACTTGTTCCTGTGTGGTTTTTTGTTTGTTTGGTTTTTTTTCCTGGTTTTGGTTTGTGAGATAGAATCTCACTTTGTAGTCCACGCTGGGCTTAAACTCCCAGCAATTTTCCTGCCATAGTCCCTGGAGTGCTGGGATTCCAGACACATGGCACCATACCTAGCTTAAATTACCACTTTAAAGAACACAGTTCTTAGTCCGGTGTACTGAGCACATGTGTGTAACCCAACCCTGCCTAATCTAGCAAGACCCTGCCTCAAAACTGAAAGAGAAGCTGGGAGATGTAGCTCACTGTGAAGGCTCTGGGTTCAATGCCTGTTACCAAAACAAGAAGAAAAAAACCTTTTTCACAAGCTCATTATCAGCACACATTATCTCACAAACAACAAGAAAGGGGACAGGGAGATGGCTCAGTGGAATAAGCACTTCCCTGGCAAGCACAACGGCCTGAGTTCAATCCCTGGTTCTGCCCCCCTGAAAAAAAACAAGATAAAGACAAAAAAGGGAATATGTACACCTCCCACCTACAAAATGAGGGCTCCCAGGTTTCCACAGCTTTTTAGTGTTTTCCAAAATTCACGTTGTGATCTGCAGCTTCAACAATATCAGCAATCTTATAAATGAAAATAGCGAATAAAATATGCCATTTATCCCTCCATCAAGTACGCAGGACCCAGTATTAGGAATGTCCAGGATGGAAACGAACTTAAATTTCAGCTCTAAAATGATCTGTAGGGGCTGGGGAGATGGCTCAGTAGGATAAGCGCTTGACCAGCAAACGCAAGGATCTGAGTTCAATCCCCGGTTCTGAAAAGAATAAAAAAATAAAAATAAAATGATCTGTGCCCTCCACTTCAGGACTGGTCCATATCCACTTGACAGCATTTATTCTGGAGCTGAGAAGTTGATAGTAAGCAACAAAGAGCTGTCTCCTGGGGGTCTGCAGGTGAAGACAGAAGCCAATCACATCAGAGAACTACCACCAAGATGGTCATTCAGAAAAAAGGACAAGGCAAAAGCAGTATCACACGATCACAAACCATTTGCCAACCTTACTGCCAGTCTTTGTGCAACCACTACAATAGCACTGAACATACATTTACTTTGAAATACTTTGCTTAGGTTAGAGGAAAGGTATCCTTCATGTTTGTGAGAGGTCCTCCTAGTAGTAGTTCTTTGTTTTTGTTTTTAACATTTTCTTGTAGAAGATGTATAGCAAATTCAGTGATGTTTTACTTACTATAAGTTGAAATTTTGTAATTCCAATTTCTGTACATTACCTTTAAAAAGTGAGATGTATTTCCCTGAGGAAAGGCTGTGAGCATGGTGACAGGAGAAAATTAAACTATTTGTGGAGTAAAACTGCTGCACAGCAGAACACCCGGGGCTTAAACGTCACTGTCCACTTTCCTGCACAACTCATCCAATGCTCTGCGATACCCATTATTCCCTGAATCGGTAGAATGATTCCTAATCCTGTAAGCTTCAGAATTCTACCCTCCATTACTCCAACTAAGCAAGATCAAGTGTACCTGGTATAATCTAAAACAAAATGACAATCAGCAGATGACTGGTCAGAAAGATGACACTTAAGCTAAGCCTATTGAGGCATATCTGTAATCTCAGTTACTTAGGAAGCTGAGACAGGATTCCAAATTTAAGGCCAGCCTAGACATCTCAGCAAAATCTTATCTCAAAATTTTAAAAGGGTTAAGTAGGGATGTAGTTCACTGTAGAGGCCCTGGGGGAGCGCCCTGGATGGACATTCTAAGTATGTCCAGTGCCAGGCATTAACATAAATCAATCTTAAAAGGATTTTTAAAAATGAATACGATGAATAATATGAACACAAACATGGACCCACTCAATCTATTGCATTCTCAAGTCTGAACAGAATACCACGGTCTGGGTGAATCAAAGCATTATAAAACAAAACTATTTTCAGGATGACAACAATTTGCTGATTTTTCAAGCTGTGCATGCTGCCCAGTATTCCCAGCTAAGATGTACAGAAGGACCTCATCTATTGTAATACGTGAATCCAGCGATATTTAACAATACTCATACTATAATGGAAGTTATAAACGATCACTGATTTTGGTTTCATAAAGTGTAAATTAATCTTTTTTGATAAGGGGAAAGGAAAAAAATCTTTTAAGAATCTATAGTACTGGGGCTGGTGAGATGGCTCAGTGGTCTAAAGCACCTACTTAGAACAAGCATAGCAAAGCACAGGGACCGTGGTTCAATCCCCCAGCACCGTACGCCAGCCAGCCAGCCCCGTCCCCTGGTGGGCTGAGCTGGCCGCGCGCGCGCGCGCGCACACACACGCACGCACACACACACATATAAAATAAAAAAGAAATAAAACGGATTATTTATTTAAAAAAAAGAATCTATAGTACTGAAAATGACAAACCCTCGGTTCTGGAAATAATAACACACACGCGCGCGCACGTGTGTGCGCACTTCAGAAATTCTACCCTAAGAAGTAAAAATGAGAATAGTCAAATCACTTTTCTGGACAAATATAATGAGATCTTCTAAACAGGAGTAACATAAACATCCTTTTGTCCCAAAAATCATCCTTTTTTTCCCTTCAAATGGGACTGATCCCAAGGCCACGCATATACCAGCCGAGGTACATCTATAGTTCTTTTATTTTTTTGAGCCAGGGTTTCACTTAATTGCCCTGTCTGGGTTACAACTTCTCTTCTAGCTGCCCAAGTGACTGAGATCACAGGTCTGTGCTCCCGCACGTGGCTCCACTCACTGCTTTTGGTGCCAGGCCTTCAACTCTCCCATTTCCTCCTTTGTAGGCTTCTCGGAGCACAAACCTCCAAGTGCCAGATGCTGAAGTACACTGTAAGATGCCCTCTTCTCACTATGCTTTTTCTTTGTAGGTCAGCTAGAGATATCTGGACATTTGCACAAGTCCCGATAGGATGAGGCCACCAATGTGTATGTACCTCAAGCTCAAGATATGCCTGAGCTTCAGCTATCTGTATCTAACTTCCATCTGTACCTTCATGGAATTCAATCTCACACCTAACACATCTGAAAAGCAGTCATTTCCACTTTGCCCCCCTCCAAACAGAAGCACAAACACACATCTCTACTGCAAGATTCTCCAAGTCAGTAAAACGTCACCATCCTCTATCCAGGCAATAACACCAATCCCCCCCAAAACAAGAAACACCTGTAGTCACATTAGGCCTCTTTTCCTGTAACTCCTATGTCCAAGGTCCAGATGTCCCAACACCACATTCACAGCCACTATCTTAATCACAGTTATTACCATCCTAACCTTAAGTAGAGCAATACCCTTCCCTTCCTCCTTCACCCACCAATCCGATCTTCCCAGTTATTTTCCATAAAGTAGAAAAGGTAGGAAAAAACCTTCTAAAGCACTGCTGAGACAGTCACTTCCTAGCTTCAACACCTGGAATGCCTCCTCACTGTTCATAAAATGAAACCCCCAGTCTTCACCATGGATCTGCATCACCTACGTCCCCTAGCCCTAAGCCCCTGCATTAATGCCTCCCCCTGGAATGTCCTTCCCAAGCTCTTCACAAGGCTACTTCCTTTCTTCTCATCTTCCAAGTCTTTGTCCACATGTCTTAAGCCTCCTCTAGGTGACCCTCTTCCTCTCCCCAACTGCTCTGTCACTGCACTCCGTTTCCTTCCAACCAGTCACCACAGCTTGTACTACCACTCTGTTTGGTTACTGTTGGCACTACGCACCCCAACTCAAGCTTCACAAGCCGGGAGATTAGCTCTGCTGCAGCTGCTCTCGGAGCAAAGCTGGGCACAGGGCGCTGTCACTCGCAATGACTAGGGTCCAAGTACTCGCGCTGTTGTCAGTCTTGAACAACACCGCTTCCTGGTCTCATTCTGGGTTTCTGCGTTCTAGCCCATCTGAAACTTTTCTCTACGTAAGATCACCCATTCCATTGCTGTTTGAAAACATACTCCAACATCTTTCCACAGAACTTATTAGGCATGCATCCCATATCAATTAAAATAGATACAAATGTTCAAGATTCTGATAATACACATGATTATTTCCATGCTAGTAGACCTATAGAGACCTCTTCATTGATTACTATTACAAATGTAGTCCTCACATAGGTTAATCTGTGGCGAGTTTGCTTTTTTAAAAGTTAATAAAGTATACTGCTACATTTTAGAATAATGATCACATAATCATAGGGAGTCTGTACCTGTACATGATGTATCTTGATTCTTTTTTTCCCATAAAAATGTGCAACACTTCACCAATTTGTGTCATCCTTGCGCAGAGGCCAGGCTAATCTTCTCCGTATCGTTCCCACTTTAGTGCATGTGCTGCCAAAGCAAGCACAGCAAATTTGCTTTTGAATGCTACGTGAGAGCTAGATAATACTCGCTGCTTCACTCTGACCTGGCATTTCACTGGATCTGTCACATTCAGGTCAACATGTTATTTGAAAAGCAGACGGAATTCATTTTTTAACAACTCTGTTAAACTATTAGGGAACAGTATCCTGCCGCAGGCAGCAAATTCAAGTATCAACTTTAAATTACATTCTTCATCTGAAAATCTCTGGCACTGCAGGACTTCCCCAGTGGGGTAGGACATCACCTTGGCCTCCCAAAGATGCACTATCTATGCTCAGTGGCATACGACTCTAGAAAGCAATCCATAATCCTTTGCATACAAGGGGTGAACAAAAATATATAATGAGTATTTAAATTTTAAAATTTTATTTCAATAAAAGATAAATTGGCACTAATACATTTCAGGCCAGGGATATAGCTCAGTGGCATAGCACCTGCCTGGCAAGCACAAGATCCTAAGTTCCATTCCCAGTACCCACCCCCACCAAAAAAAAACCTTCCCTCAAAATACTCTCCTTCTCTATGAACACTTCGAACGTGGGCCATCACATCTATAAGTACCTTTCCTAGTTGTGATTTTAAAATATGGTGGATGGTCCTACCAAATGCCATCCAACAGAAAGGCTGGCTCATAAAAAAATTACCCGTGCGTCTGCATCCACCTCATACACTGGATCTGACAAAGCACAACTTCCAGCTCATCCACAAATGACCATTACAGATGGATATTTTGAACTAATGGAGGACATCCAGGCAGTCACAAGAGTACATCTAAAGACTCTCATGAAATAGGATTTCCAGAATAACTCCACAAAGTGGCAGGAATGATATGGATCAAGTCTGTTCCAAGAAAGGGCTATTTTGAGGGGTTATTAATATGCCTTTCACTGTAACAATTTAAACCTTTACCATATTGTCTTGATCATGGTGTGCAGATGCTTCCAGAAACAGCCATTAGCACATAGCAGTTCCTGCATTCTGGTTCTGCAGCAGGGGCTCTGATGAGCTTTTAGCTTACAGACTAGGTTTCCAAATAGACCACAAGCATATTCTGACGCCAGTTACTGGGTCTTCTGTTTCTCTTTAGGCCACAGCTGCACGAGAGGCTGAGCAAGAATGGGCTTATTATGAAACGCTGTTTCACTTCACTGGTGACAGGGAATGTGTCAGATGCCCCAAGCGGGTGCCCCCATCTCTAACAACCCAACTTTCTGGGACGGATTTAGGGTTCAGAGGAGCATCTCTAGAAATCCAATATATTTAGCACCCCTAGACTCATGTTCACTTTTTGATACACGGTAACTTTATAGAGCCAAAACATAAAAAATAAAGAGTTCAAACATGCAATTCAGAGGTAGCGTTTTTTAATGTATCTTCTCTATGAGGACTCCAGCACAGACCATGTCTTTTGTACCACGGATGTGCAGCTCCTCTGTGCCTCTGGGAGGGTCTAAACTGCTGAATGCCAGGGACAGACAACTGTAAAATGTGACAACAATTTCCCCAGCTGTATTATTTTCTGAAGAGGGTAATGAAAATTTTCTATTAAACCACTAGATCTAAATTAGGTTTTTGTGTTTTTAATTTAACAAATATGTACTATTTAGCTACTCTTCTTGGGTGCTGTAGGTTACAAAAATATACTAATCCCTAAATCTACTGGGAAGCAGCAGACTAAAGAAAGATGCTGCTTCCTTTAATTCTGCAAATGAGCTGACTTCTACTAAACCATAAAAGTGTTCCTGATCCTCTAGAACACTGTCCTCCTTCCAAGTCCCACACTATCAGCCTTTCTATGGCTTCCTCAGTTCCACATTCTACCACCATCTCTGCATCCATGTATAAAAATCTTGTATCTCCCTCTCTTGCATTTTCATTCTTTTCCTGACTGCTTCTGTGCTGCTCAGCCTACAGAGCAGACTCATAAACTCCTGTATTTTAAAACCCTAACAAAATTCCCTTGACTGCCTGGGGCTTTTGGAACCCTGTGCTCACTCTCTCCCTACTCCTTGCTGCTTTTTCCTCCAGGTCCTCTTTATTTACCCATCCTTCACTTGTAGACATTCCTCAAAACGCCCTTAACCTCTCCCACTGGCAATCCCATGCACTTCACACTCTCTAAAACACTAAAATCTAACATGCACTCACAGGCCAGCTCTGATCTCAGTTCTGCAGCCAGCTCACCTCCCAGTCAACACATGCAAACCAAAATAAACAAGCATCTCACTTGGCAGCTTACTCTCACCTGGCTGCACACAACAAACATGTAAACAATGTAACTGTGGTGGAATTTTAACAGTGAAGAGTGGGTGTGTTTTCCTTCAAATTCTTCTGTTAGCTTTCAAATTTTTCAAACTAAAATAAATAAATAAATAAATAAAATTCAAACTATAAAGTTAGGGACTAGGGGCCAGGGAGATAGTTCAGTAGAGTAAGCATTTGCCTGGCAAGTGCAAAGGCCTGAGTTCAATCCCTGGTTCTGCAAAAAAAAAAAAAAAAAATTAAAAAAATTAAAAAAAAAAAGTTAGGGACTATACAGAAGTTCAGTCAAAGACAAATCATTGCCCTTACTTTTAAGGAATGTATAATCTCAATGTGTCTTTTCTTATCTAAAACCAGATAGATCTGAGAGTTGAATGACCAAATAATAAATTCAAATAGACATCCAAATTGCAAATATTTACTGAGGGTCGACTAAGGGGAGCAACACGCTAAACCTTATGTATGAACATCAAAGCAAATACACTACTTTGCTGACCTTCATTGGTGAGAGGATCCCCTCCCAGGCCAATGCATTTTCCTGCCTTATCTACTTCTATTAATGGTACTATCTTCTTCAATATCCCAAAGAACTTCTGATTCCTCTTATTAAATTTTCCATATCTAAAGCAGTAGTCCAGTTTCCTTGATTGTACTACCTTTTGTGTCTCCCCTTCATTATTCCCACAGCCATTATCTGTACTCAGGTCTCTGCCTCCTACCAAGCTCTACTCCATCCTTGCTTGGTTTCTGTCCAAACAGCTCTAAATGAATTATAGCACCTGCTCAAGAATTTCAACGACTTGCCAGTATCTACAAAATGCAATTCAAAGCCTCAGCCAGACAATGAGACACCCAAGCTGTATCTTAAATTTCCTACTTGTTTCTTATTTTTTATTTAGCCTAAGGTTTATCTACTACTGTCCAATAGTGCCCTCTCTCTGCCTTCCCTCTGCTTGTCTTCGATCTTTTACTCTTCTCCAGTCACTGTTCTCAGGCTCCTAAGTGCTCCAGCTACAATCATTCACACCCAGATCAAGGTAATCTCTCATTCGTCCGAACCCTTATGACATGTAATCTGCACATATTACTCTTTAGGCAATATATATTCATATTTCCAAGTATTACTCAAAATCTGTGTATGCATTTATCTTTATTCATTTAGGAGTATCTTGAAGGCAGTGCCTTTTTTTTTTTTAATGTATAACAGGCACTCTTGCTTGTGAGGAATTTACTATCAGCATCCTTTCTAAGTAGCCCTAGCTGGGCATGGTGGTGCACACCTATAATCCCAGCACCTGGGAGCCTGAGGGAGGAGGCTCTGTGAGCTCAAGGCCAGCCTGAACTGCATAATGAAACTGTCTGAAAAAGACCAGAAAGAAAAAAGTTCCTAGAAACTGAACAAGGCCTTCTAAACTACAAGCATTTTCCCCAAAATATTTATATTAATAGTGATAGTTTATTGTGGGGATATATATATTAAATCAATTTTAAGTATACATTCAATGTCATTCAAATGCAACTATCAGTACTATATTTCCAACAATTTCATCACTCTGCAGAAACTGTGCTCATTTAATAAATAACTTTCTATTTTCCCTCCCTACAGTCCCTGGAAACCTCTAGTCTACCATTTATCCCTATGAATCTGACCATTCTAGAGATTCCATTTACATCAAGACTCATACAGTATCTCACCTTCTGTATCTAGTTATTTCACATGTATAACATTTTCAGTCTACTCATGTTATTACTATGTATCAACTTCGCCGCTTTACTATGTATCAACTTCCACGCTTTCCACTGTGTCTACCACATTTTCTTCATCCACACATTGGCTGACATGCAGTTATGCTATTACCACTTTCTAGCCATTATGAATAATGCTGCTGGGAACAGTGACATCCAAGCATCTGTTCAACTTTGTCTCTATGCCTATGGGTACAACTGTGGGGTCTTACAGTGCTGCATTTGTGCGTGCACTTTTACAATCCAGACACACTCCTCCACTGAACACCACAGCCACAAAGCTGTTCCTACTCATTTAGAAAACAATTCACTTCTGCAAGGTTTCTTCCTTACAGCCCACTCAGGCAACAGGCGAGGATCCCGTGTTCAGGAGCCTGCCATCACTTCAACACAGCCTTTTCACACGTAGAAAGTACATACGATGCAATTCTAACTCTCCAAATGAAATCTCCAAAACCAACTGTGATTCAATTGTTTGTCACAGTTCTATTCTTAATCCATTTGGTAGCAGATAAATGACAGTGTAAAAGGATATACATTTTTCAGCACATTTTTTGGTAAAGGACAGCTTCTATTGACCCGACAATCCTATAAAATACGCTGAATGTGGGCCATGTATTTAAGACTGCACTGCTGCAGAGACCGGATCGCTTTTCATTCTAAACCAAGGGTGACAGCCTGGGACTTCCACACTGACATCTCACTACCATTACCACAAGATACTTAATGAGGAAAATGCAAAGAAGTAAATTCAAAGAAACTATCTCAAAGGACATATACATAAAAGTATGAACTTGGACAACAAACAAGGCAGACCTTTCGGTTAATTCCACAAATATTTGCATTTGAATTTTTCACACACATGTACGCTTAAACCAGGCACATTGGCACAGGCCTATAATCCAAGCAACCAGCAGGCTGAGGCAGGAGGATAACAGCAAGTCTGAGATCAGCTTGGGCTACACAGTAATTTTAAGGCCAGCCTAAACTACACAGGAAGACCCTACACATAACAAAAAAAAAAAAAAAAAAGCATTATCATGTAACAGCCTTAAGGTGTAACTTAAAAACTGAGATATCAAAAACAAGATAAACAAGCAAGTCTAATAATATCACCAAATAGCACATATAGAAACTTTAATCTCAAATAACTTTGTTAACACAGTAAGGTAGGAAGGCCAGAAATTAAGACCTTTTACTAGTAAATGAGGGAAAAAAGGCTGAAAAACACTTAACTTGTTAAGATAAATGCACTAAGCTTTTAAAAATTTTATTTATTTATTGGATATAGAGTCACTACGCAGCTTGGACTCAAGAGTGATTCTTCTGTCTCAGCCTCCCCTCCCTCATGTTGGGATTTCAAGTAACTTTTTAGATAAATGCACCAAGCCTTTAAAAATTTCCTGTCTCAGCCTCCCCTCCCTCATGTTGGGATTTCAGGTGTGTGCCACCATGCCAGGGGTTCCAGGCCAGCACAGCATGCGGTACTGGGGATCGAACTCAAGGCCTTGTACTTGCCAGGCAGGTGCTTACACCACCAAGCTATCTTCCCAGCCCTGAGCTACATTTTTTAAAATGATCTTTCACTGTTAAGTCATCTTTTAAATAGGGAGACCTTAAATCAAATTTTATGATCACATTAAATACAGTTCTCCCAGAAAAATAGAATCATTGTCTTAGAATTAGTCAAGAAACATACAAGATGGTCAAGATGGTCAAAAAGTAACAAAATATCATAAAGGGAAAATTTGTTTTCCTATGCTTGAAATGTTAATGACTTCTCAAAGACGTTTTTATCTTCAAGTAGCACCCACGCAAAACTTGAATTTTTAAGATTTCAAATCACTAAGATGTTTGCTAATAGCATAAGTGTGTTCACTAAATACAACCTAGTTTGAGAGATCTGGACAACGTAGCCACTTAGGTGTTAGGGTGAGCAGACATACCAGTGACAGACTGGTGTCTACACGGTAGTTATAAAGCTAAGACTGGTTCATCTGGCAAAGTTCAGGCTGCGGGCTACAAAACAAAAGGAGCAAAACTGACTCAAATGGCCCAGAGTTCACCAGCTATCTAAATGGCGTAACCTTACAATCCAAGATAGGGAAAGCCTTAGGAAATGATAGTAAAGGTAATATTTACTTCTGAAAATATAGCACAATAAAAGCAAAAACCCAACCAAATACACAGTAAGGAGATGACTCTTTTCACACGTACATGTTACATGTATATACACACATATAACCAAATGGCTAAAATAATAAAAATAAGCATTTTACTTATACAGCAATATAAAGCAACTTTTAAGATAGTCTAACATTTTTAACTTCGTCACTGAATATGAATAACTTGCATTACAGTGTTCTAATAAGTCCATTCACTGTAATGTACATTAAAGATTTAACCTTGTTTACAAACATTCAAACTTATTTAGAAACTGCATTTCACTTAAGTTTTGAAGTTCAGTAACCTCCGATATTTTTGCCAAGTGGTCATATTAGGGAATACAGGCAGTGCACCTTTCTTAACAAAAGAAACTATCTTCCTACTGATTTGCAGTCATCACCTGTGAGGTTATGTGCCAAGTGCTATATTCTAGGAAAATGTGTTTAAATTGAGAGGTATACATTAAATACTGATGGACGCTAGAAAAGATAAAACCATGGCTAAGATACATTAGTTAACAAGCAATTATTTCATTTATTCAAAATATAATTTATAGTTGATGAAATTACAATCTCAACATTATCCTATTAAGCTCCTGTGTTCAGGGTAAGTTTAGAGAATTTTTTAAGAGTGCATGTGTTGGGGGCCGGGGAGATGGCTCAGTGGAATAAGCGCTTCCCTGGCAAGCACAAGGGCCTGAGTTCAACCCCTAGTTCCGCCAAAAAAAAAAAGTGCACCTCTTTAACACATCATTTAACTCACATTTTAATTGGAAACACATTTCAAAAAGACTCCCAAACTAAATTATTCATTTCCATCTCCAACAAAAAGTAATTAAAGTATTAAATAATTAAATCCCATAAGCTACCGCACAAGACATACAACTGAACTCAGATAAAAGTGCTCAAATTTGAGATTACCATAGAGTTTGGACAATATTAAAAGACAATCAAAACCAGACATTTTAATTCACATTATTTAAGAGGTCCAAAGTGTATGTTTTCAGAAATTAAACCAATCCTTATGTGTAAAGGACAACATACTATGCATTCTCCTGCAAAATAAAGATGCCTGAAATCATTTTTCTCCAAAGGTATTGCGTGTACTAAGGCTTCTCTCTGCACCACCCCACAGCCACTTAGAGCTTCTCCCAAACGCAGGTAATACTCTAAAGGGTCACCTCAAAGAGGCAGGAGAACGCTTTCAAGGCAGAAGGTTCTACAGACCTCAAAAAAACCAGAAATCTCTCACACATGAAACTCGGCTGAAAAATGAAATCAAAGTGTATTATTCCGTACTTTTTTTCCTTTGAGACAGGGTCTCACTATGTAGCCCCAGCTGGCTTCCAACTTGTGGCAATCTTCCTACCTCAACTGCAGAAGACAGATTATAGGCATGTGCCACCAGGCCCAGACCCATTTTTAAAAATGATTAATCCCAAGAAAATCTTCCAATTTTAAAATTAAAAATTTGACAGCACTTATTCACAAGAAAGCCACTGTGCTTTATTAGACAGTACTAGTTTTAAAACCATGTTTCAACTTTCTAATTTGATCATCAAGAGCTGTCTGAAGTCACAAAGGACACACACAGGAGACGCTGAGTCAAACAAGAGCAACAACCCCACAGCATGTCCATGGAGTTGCACAAACTGAGGAAGCAGTCACTTCTTTGGAACACCTATTACTGTTTCTCCACTTAACCTTCTGGAAAGATTATTAGCCACAAAAGAAATCCTCAATAATGACTAGTTTCATTACAGACCAGCGTGTAATTTAAAAGCTTTTCAAACTCAAAATGACTTTGCGCACAAAACACCAAAAGTTCAACAAGCATCTCACACACCTGATCAACGTTAAGAACAGGCGTATCCAAGCAGCAAAACTAAAATTTCCATTAACCCACACTGGTCACAGTTCAGAATATTTCATTTAGCTTTCAATCTGAGTATTTCCACATACCTTCTGTCCTGCATGTGGCCCCTGAATTTTTTGTAAGTTCGACTCCTACCCGCCTGTAAGTTTAGAACTGTAACGCAGTCGCACACCCATTCCCATGCCAATCCTGAGAACTGAGAAATGAAACGCTGCAATTTGTAAAGCTGAGTTATAGAACTGAACGACGAATCTCCCCCAAATAAATGGTTCATTGTAACACATCGTTGAAAGTCCTTCACTTCACTGTTGATCTAGTCTTCCTTCCACCACGAGAGGAGCAGCAAAACAGCTGTTCTAAGTAAAATAACCAACAAACGTTTGGAAATTTTTAAATTGTTTTCAAACTGAAATACACATATATATAGGCTTTGTGAGGAAATACCAAAAGGGGAAAAAAAAGAAATAGCAAAGAAAACCAGCACCTTGTAAGTCTAAATCTGTAATTAAAAACAAAATCCTTCTATCAAAGTCGCAAATTATCTCAATTGCCCTGCCGAAGGGTTCAACACAAAACTATCTACAATGAACCAGCTTTGTGATCCAGGGTATAATTCTTTTACTTATTACCTAATAGGGACTGAGACAATACGGTCATCCATTACTTCTCTTGGACTGAGTACCGAGCCGGTCAAAAGCTCATGAAGACGCCGTTTCAGCTGTTACTTGGTTTCAAGCACCGAAACAAGCGTCAACCAAAAGAGCAGAAGTCCGTACCAAGGCGCAGCGAGCCCGAGGCGGAGGCTCGAGCGCGGGCAGCAGCCGCCCGGGACGCCGCAGCTCACCTGCAGTTGGGCGGAGGGTCTAGAGTGATGTCGGCCAGCTCCTTCTGAATCCTGGTCGGGGAGACAAACACAAGAGGCGGTCAGGCTCGGGCCGCTCCCGCCCGCGGCGCTCAGCGCCCTCCTGCAGCAGCAGCAAACTTTCCTCCTGCAGGCCGCGACCCTCCCGAGGTTCTCCTCCTCGCTCCTTCCCCGGGTCCG